TCTATCTATCTATCTATCTATCTATCTATCTATCTATCTATCTATCTATCTATCTATCATCTGTATCCCCCCCCACTCTCCCTGCCTATCTGTCTACCTACGTATCTATCTAGCCAGCCCCAAATGACATATTTCTGACACCATTGTCATCACAAACTGACCAACAGCCCCGTCTCTTGTTCTGTCTTTCTCCTCTTCCTCCTCCAGCTTTATTTATTGCCTCATTTGAAAGCGAAGGTCCAGAAAATCACATGGAGAAAGACAGCTGGAAGACTCTCAGGTAATCACGGTTATTGATATATAGGAAGCAAAGGTGTTGCTGGAACGAAGCCTGAAAAGGCTACTTAGCCATTATGCAAAGTAAAGGAAAACAAAAACAGAATGCCACAAGGGTTGTCCTATTTTGCCACAAAGGAAAGGAGAACATTCAAAGGAAGACTTGCCTCCCTAGTTCTTCTAGCAGCCAAGCCACCAACTGTCCCGGGCCAACACAGAGCCACCATCTTCCCAACCACTTTCTAAGTAAGGAGCAAAAAACTAAAATAGGCTTCTTCACTGAGAAGGGGGAGAAGACTATTTAAATCAGGAGGCCCTCAGGAATGAGGTGATGGCCACCAAGATGGAATCAAAGCTCTGCCCCCTTTTTGTACATGGGTCAGAATACAACTTTAAGTCCTAAAGTTATGGTCACTTCCTGACTTTTCATCCCACCGCAGACCTCAATTTTAATGTTTTAATGTCAAAAACTCCTTGCATGGTAAGGCCAAAGACCGAGTTAAGCTTTCTCTCCCTGATGTTCTCATTTTAATGTTTCCAGGAAGTGTGTTTATTTATTTACTTATTATTTACTTATATTTCTAAAGCTACCCATCTCACAGCAAACAACTGCGGGCAGCTCATAATTCAACACATGCGTTACTGTTTAAAATGTTAAAAACATTTTAAAAGAGTAAGAACAATAACCACAGTAAAAAGCATCAAGACAGTCAAAAGTCTAATCAGTCTAAACCGTCTAATTCGAAGGAATTATAAAGGGTTCATTGGTATGCGAGTCTTTTAACTCGGGGAATGCCAAGAAGCATTATTCTTCCTTTTTACTATCTCAGGATGTAGTACACTAATCCAGTGGTGGGATTCAATTTTTTTTTACTACTGGTTCTATGGTGTGGCTTGGTGGGTGTGGCTTGGTGGGTGTGGCAGGGGAAGGATACCGCAAAATCCCCCTTCCCTCCCCACCCCACTAACCTGCTTTCCAGCTCTGTTCTTCCGTGCAGGGCAACCAAAGAAGACCCAGCGGATCAGCTGGGACTCAATGGGAGGCAGAGAATAGAGAATAGGGATTGCCAGGCCAGTCTGAGGGGGTATTATTGCTGGTTCTCCGAACTACTCAAAATTTCCGCTACCAGTTCTCCAGAACCAGTGAAAACCGGCTGAATGCCACCTCTGCCCTAACCCCGTTTTCATCTTTTCCCAACATAGGAGCAATCCAACGGAAGCATTCTGAATTATTCAGTGATTAGAGGGTCTGCTTTCTACTAACTGGACTTAATTCCATTGAGAGCACAAACAGACCCTGTGGGTTTGGTGGCCTGCCGTTATGGCATTTTTCGTAGGAAGGGAAAGACAGCAAAATTGTGTGCGCCAACCAAAGTTTTGCCTGGAGACAATTTTCAGCATATGTTTTGAGGGCTGGCTGGCAAATCATCTTTAGAAATCAGAATACTAGGACAATTTCAGTGTTCCTTGTACAAAGGGAAGCACACAATTTCACAATTAGGCGACTGGGGGACGAAAACATATGAAGAACAGTTGCAGGGTTTGGGTAGATCCCGTCAAACAAAGAGAAGGGATAGGGATGACATGATACCAGTCTTCCATTATTTGAGGGGCTGCCCCAAAGAAGAGGGGGGGGGTCAACCTATTTTCCAAAGCACCCGAGGGCAGGACAAGAAACAATGGATGGAAATTAACCAAGGAGAGAAGCAACCTGGAATTAAGGAGAAATTTCCTGACATCCTGAGATAACTTAATTTGTGGAACGGTTTCCCTCCAGAAGTTGTGGGTTCTGCATCACTTCTGCATCACATTTTAAAGAAGGGACTGGACACCCATTTGTCAGAAATGGTAATGTTGTTTTTTTGTAATGTGGTGACCAAAACTGGATGCAGGATTACAGGTGTAGTCTTCGTAAGGTTTTCTAAAGGAGTATTCAAGATTTTTATTCTATGCCTCTGCTCATACAACCAAGGATTGCATTCGCTTTTTTAGCTACTGCCATGTAAGAGAAGACCCCTGATAGTAACCTTTTATCTTTTTGTTTTTAGGACAACGCTCCTCAACCGAGCCTGAGAATTGGGACTTTTGGATTTTAAAGCACATTCTACAAACAAACACTGGTATTTTTTTTTTAAAAAAAGAGAATCCTGAAAGGTTTGGTTTGCGAAAAGGAGGCCTCGCTGGTTGGGGTCAGTTTTGTATATATCTATACGATACCTTTTTTGAACGACTGAAAATACAAAATTGGGCTCGATAATATCAACTTTAAGGCACTTAACGAAGGGGGTTTTTTTTGGTCTTTTTCTTTTCTTTTTTTAAACTCCAAATCAAGGGCAGGGCCCTGGTCTCAGAGATTAAATGGACTGTGGGGAAGGAGAATCCGTAGTGATGTCTTCTCAGAGGCCCGTCAAGATCTTTATTTTCATGCGTGATGATTTCTACCCAATACTGTACATGTACACTGTGCCAGGGAGTCAGTACCCTCTCATTCCTTGGGTCTCGCATGTGCCTGGCACTTCCTGGTGAAGAGCGGATGCATCGTGGCCTCGCATGTGCCTGGCACTTTCATGGTGAGGAGCATCTGAAAAACCAACTGACCCAAAGAGGCAACCGAGTTGATTCCAGGATTACCCCAGGTTGCTTAACTACGAAACTTAAGCACGGAGCCTTTCTCATATGACACACCCATTTTAAATGAACGGATATTCCGATACGCGTGCTTCTTCTCTACCACCACGTTTCTAGCTATACTTCATATTTTCTCCCCCTGGGTTGAATCTGGCAAAGGAGATATTTGCCTAGAGAAATTCAAAAAGGGTAAAAATTTGTTTGTTTCCAGGCTGCCCTGGATGAGTCATTGTTTTGCTGCAATAGATTTCATACTGCCGCTCTTGCAGAATTCATCCCGTTTTTTATTTTGTGTCCCGCTGTATTTATTTATTTTCCTCCAGTGATCTTTGGGGGGGGGGTGCTTTTCTTTTTTAACTAACACTACAGATGTGCAAATCCTTTGACAAATGTGCAAAGCTGCTTTCCCCCCCCTTCCCGCCCCACCCCAAATTGTTACATTGGCCATTCCCACCTCCACAAGAATTGTCATTGCTTAGGAATCTACCTGCATAGGTGCACACAGCTACGTAGATTTCCTCCCTCCCACACCACCATCCCCAATGAAGTGGAAAAGCATCATCTGGAAGCATACTCTGGTATGCTTTAAAGAAAGTGGTTTAAAGAAAATTCAGTATGGTGATCACAGACAAGTGATAGAAGCCATATGTGCATAACGCATAACAAAGGGCAGAGTTTCAATTGCTCCATCATGGATGCCATCTTGACTTGTCTTATCCTAGCTGTGGGGAAATTTGGACAAAGAGCTGGCTGCTTTAAAAGGCTTAGAGGTTCCAAAGCAGCTTCTTCAAAGGCTCTTCACAGCCTTACTTTAAACAGCCAACAAAATCAATTAATTTTTGCCCAGAATCTAACCCTAAAGACAAAGATATTGCGTTGGCGGCTTGTTCAAGGAACTGTGTAGAAAACAAAACCAATGTGGGAAAGTGTGGTACAAGAAGACTAAGTTAAATCTTTCTTCTCCCCAGACAACAGGGGTTTCCATTGACTTTGGTTTGCTAAGGCAAGGCGACTTAAGGAAGTAGGAACATTTCTCATCTCCTGCTCCTTTTACGGGGACCGCAGTCCCAAGAAAGTCTCTTTGAAAGGACCAGAGGGGACCTTTATGAACATGTGGGTAGGCCATGATGGAGTGAGGGAAACTGCAAAACTTCTTTGAAAAAGAGGAAGATTGAAAAAAGAGAAAAGATCCAATTCTGAGAAAGCTCTGCTGGCAGAGCAAAAGTAGGGAGAAAGGAATTATTAATCTCTTCTTTCTCGAGATTAAAAAATACAGATCCCCCCCCCCCTGCAAGCACTTGGTGGCATCTACACCCTCCTAGAGAAACTTTTTTTGCTACCTTGGATGGGAGTACAAAATCCTTGGACTGGAAGCTAGTTGGAGAGGTTCAAAAATGCCCGCAAAGGTGGCAGTCCACATTATTAATCACATCTATATTTTTAACAAGAAAATTGCTTGGATATGGCCATGAGTTGGGGTTGACCTTGATCAACTCTCAGCATACCTCTTTGGCTTGCAGACCCGGACTGCAAATCTGCAAAGGATTGTTAGCGAGTTACCGCAACCCCTTTGCTACCCTCTGGTGGCCGACTCCATTTTTGCAGCTCAAATGTGACTGCCCCATAGATCGTAGAAGTGGGCGGAGCAGGGAATGCGAGTGATGTGCCTATAAAGCTTTTACCCCTACTTTGGAAAGGAAATCAAAGCAAACACACACAAACACACCTTGTAACTCCAGAAATGCTCTCTGAAGGACCAAAGATTGCAGCTTGAATTAGCTTGTTGTAGGAACACAAGCCAACTTTATTTTCACGGGGAGCATCCAAACACATCATCCTCAGCCTGATTTATCCCAGATTAAGCCTCCCTGTTGCATTTCCCCATTGCATTGTGGTATAAAGGGATTTTTAGCAACCAGAACACAGTATTGCGTCCTCATCTCCACCCAAGGATTCTGTCCTTCCTCTCTCTGGCCTTAATCATTGTAGCAGCCTAGCTGCCCCCTTTCACATCAGAAATTAGTGCCTTACAAGGTACTGGAATTGTTTTGCGTACCTTCTTTTACAATTCTGCATCAGAAACGAGTAAATTAAAACTAGGGATGTCTCGAAAAACCAGCTATTGCTTTGTAAATAACCTGGAGGATATATCAGATGAAATAAGAGTCTACCTTTCTCTGGATTAATAATGGTGCAGCAGAAATTATTTTTGTTACAAAAGACCATAGGAGAAATCACTCCAATTTTTGTTTTTGTTCCCACCTTAAGACAATTTTACCAATTTCAAAAACATTTTCATTTCCATCAGAATTTTGTTCATCGGGGATATGAAATTTGAAGGAATCATAATCTTGAGCAGCTGGCATTGGGGTGTTATTATAACCCGTTGCCCATAAATAAATCTTAAAAAATCTGTTTGGTGGATTTCCCTAAATCTACCATAAAAGCTCACAAGAGATGCTGGATTTTATAAAGAGCCCATTTTTTTTTTGGTCTGGAAAAACACACAATGGCAGCTTCTCTTTGTCTTGGCTTCCAGCTAGTGGATATACAGATAATTGTTAAATTATTTGAAGCCCATCCCCGGTTATACAAATAGAATTATCTATTTATATAACCAAGGATGGGCTTCAAATAATTTAACAACTGGTTCTCTGCCCGGTTGCTGGGTGGGTGTGACCATGGTGGGCATGGCCTAGTTGGCCCCCTGCACCACCCTGGGAGAAAAAAAATGGGCCACAGGGGGCATTTTCACCCTCCCTGGGCTCTGGAGGCCGGAAACGGGCCTGTTTCCAGCCTTCCGGAACTTCCATAAGGCCCGTTTTTCACCTCCCCTGGCTCTGGAGGCTTTCCTCGAGCCTCTGGGAAGCTGTTATCGCCTTCCCCGGGCTCCAGAGGCTCTCTGGAGGCCAGAAACATTTCTGACCTTCCAGGAGGCCCACTTTTCGCCCACCCCATGAGCCTCCACATGGACCTTGCACTTACCTGTGATCCAAAATGGGCTGCCTGGGGACTCCTGGAAAGAGTGGGGCAAGGTGGATGGGGCCAGCCAGGGGTGGGATTTGCTGGTTCACCAAACTGGCCATAAAATTAACAACCGGTTCACCTGAACCTGTGCAAACCGGTAGCATCCCAGCCCTGTGTACAACCCAACACAGTTAACAGTAATTTAAAGCCATCACAAGAGCTTGGTAGATTGGGACAACTTTAAGAAGAAACTAAAAACATTATTGCCACCTTGCTAGCTGAATTCTTGGATCCTGTTATGGAATTGAGACCACATATTTTTTTTAAAGTTATCTGCCATGTTCTATTTCCATTAGAACCAAGTTTTACGTGTATGTGTGTGTATGTGTATGTGTATATATGTATATATATTTCGATGCCTCCTGTTAATTTATTCTGTTCTAAACATGTTTTCTGATCACCACGAATCTAATTTCTTACTTTCTGGGTTTTGCATTAATTTCAGTAGGGGAAAAAACATAGAAGTTGGACATTCACCCTGGGCAAATAAATGCTTTGAATGTCAGAAGGTGTGAATAGAGATGACCCTCAACTTACAATGATTCATTTAGTGTCCATTCAAATTTACAATGGCACTGGGAAAAGTGACTTATGACCATTTTTCATACTTACGACCATTGCAGCGTCCTCACAGTCACGTGATCAAAACTCAGACGCCTGACAACTAACTCGTATTTATGATGTAAAATGGGACAAAACTCACTTATCAAATGTCTCACTTAGAAACAGAAAATTGTGGGCTCAATTGCAGTCATAAGTCAAGGACTACCTGTATTGCAGCTACTATAACCTTTTAAGGCAACCGTGTCCTTTCCTAGGAGAAAATGTGGCTGCGTTAAAAAGTTTGCAGAAACATGCTACGTTCTCACCTTTGGCTTCCAAATCCAATTAGTTAGAGGTCTATTGTCCATACATGCAAGCTAATTACTTGATTTTTCTAAGTTAAACTGTGATTGGCTACTTTGTAGTTCAGCTCTTGTCAGAGAAAAAAAAGCCACGACATCAAAATAAAAGGCTTAGAAAATTGAATAAAAGTTGAAAAGTCAGTTTGGCCAAGTCAGAGAAAGAGATGGAACAGTATCCCCATGACACAATGAACAAAAAATAAAACCATGAAGCTAGCCAGTTCTTTTTAGCATATATATTAATTCTAAAACATATGTCTACATCACAAGAATTCGATTAGTTCATTGTTACTCTCCAACTTTCTACTCATTAAAATTTAAATTAGGAGAAACCCGTTTCAATTTGTTCAGTCATGGTTTACCATTGTAACATTTATCAGTTCCAAATGGAGGGCCGTTAAAATGCTATGAAATTTGTGCATATGTACATGTTATATGCACAATAAATAAATATCATTCCATTCTTTTGATTAATACATTAGAACATCTATCTATCTGACTCAAAAAAAAAAAGTATTTTGCCAAAAGCATTTTGCTACTTGCATTCAGATTGTTCAGGATACAAGGAGAAAGCAACGAAAGGAAATAATAAAATTGATTTATACCGATCAAAACAAAAACACTATGAATTGATAAACAAGAACCCCATGAAGGCAGACGGAATTAATGGCTCGGTTTATTGGTTGAGCTGCTGCTATTCTTTCCCCTCCGATCCTGAAGTATTGATTTTTGATCCCGGAGGGAGAAAAATAAACATTTGTACTGTATTATTTCAGTGAGTTTCGTTTTAGATTTTTGCACTTGGAAAGATGTCCTAGTTAGCAACATTGTCAAATCCTATGAAAGGCATTGTATATTTGGCTTTGTGGATGCATTTGAAATTTACAACAGGATGTTTCAAATTTCATACATGAGAAACTCAGTTCTGGAACATGTGATGTGTAGGCATATTTAAGATGAAAAATAACAAAGCTTTGATATGAATGTGCCCTCCACTGGTTATCCGAGCTGGTTCCAGTATATACTTGGGGGGGGGAGCGTGATTCCCACACAAATTCTCAAATTCTACTCATTCCCCCCCACTTCTCCCTTAGCCTTTGGTTTGAATCATCCCTTCCAACATCTGTGTTTTGTTATTGGGAACTGAATTGCTACATATAAAAAGCTGTACCATAAAAAGCAGGATATTCCGTGTTTGACTTTGCTGTGCTTACGTTAATAAAATCAAAATGGCTTCAACCAGGCTTATGTGGATCTGTCGTATATAATAATCCTGGAGGAACAGTATGAAATCCCCTCCATAATTTGCACGTCCCCTTTTTAAAAGTCTATGGAGATTCACCATCATCCAGGTCAGGGGTGCCACAATGTGGTTGGATTCAGCCCACAGAGCTGGCCTGGAAAATGTAAGGGAGGAGCCCATGTGGCTTTGGTCTGGTCTACCCAATGTGAAGAGGAAAGATTGGGCCAGTGTGCATTGTGGTTAGTGGACTGCTGAAGAGAGCAAAGACTCAGATGAGGGGCCAGGACCATTAGGGAGTGAACTGCTGCCTTCAGAGATTGTGGGGGCTGGCAGCAGCGATGAGGAGGTTCCCGAGGAGCCTGTGCCAAGTGCACGTGCACGCAGGATTGCTCGCAGGAAAAAGCAGCTACAACAGCACGGGTGACTCGGGAGTAAAGCTGCAAGGTAATGGCCCCTCCTTCAAGAAGATAAAAGGCAGCTGTGCAGTGAATGTTCTTTGCAGGAAGCAAAGACATTTTGAAACTCAGCCTCGTGGACATTACAGCTGGTATTCGAAGACTTGTGTTGTAAACTATTACTTATCTGTTGTTTTTTGGCAGCCTTGCAAAAACTTGGCAAGGCTCTTTCTTGTCGGAGCTAATTAGTTGGAAGCAGCCTTTTATATGTGAAAAAACAGGATTCATAGATGAAACATTAAAAGGTTGTTGCCCTTGTCTTATGTTTGCTCTCTTGGAACCAGGTTTGGGTCAGAACAGTGTGTCTTCATCCTGGTCTACCCGATGAGAAGGGGCAACATGCCAGCAGTTTGGGGAATGGTGTCAAGCTGGCGACGCCCATGCAGTCGGCCACACCCAGCGACTGGCATCAAACTGGCCTCTCCCACCTGGCCCTCTGAGGTCAACCTCAGCTCTGATGTGGCCCTCAATGACACCCCAGAGTTTGACACCCCTGATCCAAGTCATGGTTGTCCCAAAGGTGGTTTTTTTAGGAGGCAACTGGACATTCTTGGGGTTTTTTTGGAAGATGTTTTGCTTCTCCTTCAAGAAGTTTCTTCAGTTCTGATTGAATAATGGGGAATGGAAGGATTGATATTCCTTGCAGACCACTGGTCATTTGCATCCTTTTAGAGAGTCCTTGAGGCCACTTGGAGGTTTGTCTGTGTCCTCAGGGTCCCCTGAGTGGTGCTAATGATTCCTGTAATCCACAATTTTTCTGGAAATCCATTCCTACTCCCACACAATTTGAAGGGTGTTCATCCCAAATGTTCATCCCTGGGGATAAAAAGCACCTTTGGGACAACTATGACCTGGATGACTGAGAATCTCTACAGACTGTTAGCTATGCAATTTAGGTACATATAATTGCAAAATACATTTTTAGAAAATGAACTAGAATTAAAATAAAGCAAGAAAGCAACATTTATCAGACAGTGGGTTCTTCAAATCATAAATATTTGCTTACTTTTTGTTGAGCAGGTTCTTCTGTTGCGAAACAAGCCGATTAACAGTTCTTCAAGTTGAATTGCAGGTTCTGCAATTAAACAACAACTCAGGAATTAAATTTGGGAGATGACCCAGTGCCTGATTCAGCCCACTTGGGAACTATGTAGAGAAGTGACAAGACAAGATTTCAACAACGATTAAATAGAAAAATTTGGAACGGTTCCTAAAGTAGTAAGGAACACAGGGTTGCAAAGCAGAAATTTAAAAAAGAACAAAGGCAAATTTCCAACTTCTCTTCTATAGTCTATGATATGCAATATTATTTCGTGGTATTATAGGAAAATGCCAGCAGTCTCCTAAAACATATAAAGAACAGTTGCTAGAATTAGGTACGTCTAGTTTAATAAGGGACGTAGTGGCTCAGTGCTAAGATGCTGAGCTTGTTGATGAGAAAGGTCAGCAGTTCAGAAGTTCGAATCCTCAGCGCTGCATAATGGCGTGTGCTCCCGTTACTTATCCCAGCTTCTGCTGACCTAGCAGTTCGAAAGCATGTAAAAAATGCAAGTAGAAAAATAGGGACCACTTTGGTGGGAAGCGAACAGCGTTCCTCTATGTGCCTTCAAAGGCGGTTTAGTCATGCCGGCCACATGACCATGGAGACGTCTTTGGACAGCTCTGGCTCTTCGGCTTTGTAACGGAGATGTGCAAGGCGAAGCTTTATCTTTAGATTAATAAAAATAAGGACTAGGGGAAACAGGATAGCAGTGTTCCAGTATCTCAGGGGCTGCCACAAAGAAGTGGGGTCAAATAATTCTCCAAAGCCCCTGAGGGCAGGACAAGAAGCAATGGATGGAAACTAAACAAGGAGAGAAGCAACCTAAAACCAAGGAGAAATTTCCTAACAGTTAGAACAATTAATCAGTGGAACAACTTGCCTCCAGAAGTTGTAAATGCTCCAACACTGGAAGTTTTTAAGAAGAGATTGGACA